AATAAGTACTTTTACTTTTAATGCTTAAGTACAAAAAATATCAGATACTTTAAGACTTTTACTTAAGTAATTTTCCTAAAGGAGACTTTTACCAAAGTAATTTTTTGGTAAGATACTTGTACTTTTACTCAAGTATCACTTTGTGGTACTTTATACAACACTGATATCTGATCTGATTAAGAAGGGGAACTCCTTTGTCTCAGACTGTGACTCAAAAATAATTGCTAATAATAATAATGCGAATATCTCAGTAGCTGTTCATCTTAGTGTTGAGATTTCCCAATATGTTATTAAGGTAATCTTTATGGAACTGCATTCATATTTATCACAAAAAAATCTATGTCACAGGCACTTTAGCTACTAGTGCTAATGAAGTAGCTAAATAAACTAAATTCAACTCTAAATCTTAATTATTGGGTAAAACTTTCCATATCCCCTCCAAATTGGAGCTATATCTTTATTTCTGTTCTTAAATGTAATGTAGAGTTGTTGCACTCCATGTTTGCTGAATTTCAGTATTACAGCAAAATAAAAGCAGTCTTTTTTAAAGCATAAAAAACAAATTTTCATGTTGTTGGAGGTTTCTCTGAGAAAAATCAGGAAGGCAACTTAGTTAGCCCATGCAACAAAACCTTTTCTTTTATGCATTGACCCACCAACTACAGTGACAAAACTGTGAAGCGATTTTCTACTCTGCCCTTGCACCACATATTGAGGACTATGATACCCGTGACCAAGCTGCTCTATAGACTTGCAGTATTTTTGTTTGTTTTTTTTATACACAGGGCTCTCAAGGCTCTGTGTGGCAAAGAGTGTATATAATTCAACTCCCACAAGCCTTGCACAAGTGTTACAAACAAACAAAGACACACAGCCTCACCTTATTGAGGTTCTCCTCCAGAGCACCATATAAACAGGAAACAGTGTAGACTATACTACAGGGGTTAGTGACTGATAAAGGTATTGCCTCAAACAAAGATGAGCAGGCAACGGAGGTGAAGTCACGCTGACAAAGCTGTGCTGCTGCAGGCTCTGGGCTAATTTAACCCATGGTTAAACCTTATTTGAGGTATTATGTTCTTGAAAACACTGTGCAGTTGAAGCACGTGTAATGGTTTTTTTAGGGGTATAAGAAGCAAAGATGAAATTAAACAAAGGATGTCTGGGAAATTAAACTGGTTTACTGTAAGTCATTCACTGTACAAAATACTGATGGAGAGAAAAGGTTTGCCGCATTTAGTGGGAGAAAATCAATGTGGGTGGGTGGGGGGGGGTTCAGGGCTGCAGGGCCAGGATGCTCATCAGTGTTATAACTGATTAGTTGGGATTCTTAAAGTTGCCCTGGGAGCAGAAATGATGAGTCCACCAGTAGCTGTGGCCAACAGCCTGCTGGTGTTTGGCTAATCAGTCCTCCAGTGGCTCTGCAGTGACATCAGCAGCTCTGTGCCGTCTCTGTGGCGTCCCGCTGCTAATAGCACACAGAAAATTAAACTGACTTCTACAGCTTTGAAGCTCACCTGCAGGAAATCAGAGCTGATAGGTCTTGTGCTATCAAGTGATGATAATGTTTCTGCATGGTTCACAGTCACAAACCTTGGAGCTGAAGAAGTTTTGATTTGTTAATGGGGTCAGAAAATAGTCTGTATTCTGGAATATTTAGTCCTTTGAACTGCTTCTGCTGCCACCTCTGAAATAAGACATTCTCTTACAAATAAGGTTGATTAAAGCCCTTTTTGTGTTTGCAAATTTTGATTAGTTGTAGTTAGGACTGCGTGGTATATGCGATAGACGGTAGAAACGATATGAAGTTGCCCTACAGTAGACATTTACCCTCTACCATCTTGTCGTCCGTTACCTCATCACACCTGCATCAACAGGGCTGCGAGTGCAGAGAAAACTGAGCAGGAGGAGTTAGAAAATTTCTGAAAATAAATGAAGAAATATAGCGTTTTAAAACACGTATAGAGAGAATAAATCCTCAAAATTTCCCCCTTTCGCTGTAGAAAAGTTCAGTCGTGCCGTCATGTCGCGGGATCATTTCCTCCTCCCTCCCGCTGCACGTCGAGCAGAGCGAAGCATTACAACCGTAGTTTTTTTCACACCCAAGTTGTTGGAGGAAAAACTTGTTTTTTATGTATTGTTACCCAAAGAGATGATAAAAACAAGATGGATGTTCGATCAGTCATAAATACATCTTGCTAATGTAACAGTCGGGTCTGAGTGCTCTGAGAGCGCAGCAGAGCAGCAGCCGATAAGTTCAGCAGGCAGAATTGTATGGCAGGTCAATTTTACATTTATTTGGCTTCGCCACACTTTCATTCCAGTTATCTGAAATTGTTTTGTGACTAGGACTATGTGCAGCTTAAGCCCCTTAAGGCCCTGTCACACTATAACAATTGAAGCAACTTATGCCAACTTAGAATATTTTTTTGTCTAAATGACTAATTTTACTTGAAGTACTGGTTAAAACATCCACTTTACTTTGATATTGTTGAAACTTTGATAAATGTTTTTGTTTGTTGTTGAAACCGTTTTGCTATATGTGTGTGTATATATATAT